TTTCCAACGAGCTCGCGCGTACGAGACCCGTGCTCCCCTCCTGCTCGCCCATTAATATCGCCGCGATTTCTGAAAATCGCGCGCCGCCACTCGTTTCCCGCGAGTCGATCGGCCCGCCGATTCTCTCCCCTCTTCCTCTTCGCCGACCGATCCGAGCGGAGAAGAAAAAATCACTCGACGACGCGAACGGGACCGGTAGCGAGGAGGATCGCGGACGGCAAAGAGAGAAAGGTGGACGGCTGCCGAGTCTCCGTGGGTGGCTGCCGATTCCTTACCTTTTTCTCCTCTTCCGCGCTCGCGCGAACGCGCTTCGACCGTGGTTGAATCCACGCTAATCGTACCTACTCCGTACGCCTATCGTCGAAACGACGCGGCCGGCGACGCACGGTGACCGCGCGGCCGCGTCCGAACGCCACGCCTTCCAGTCACGCGTTTCCGCTTGCTCGCGAGAAGTTGCTCGTCGGCGTCGGGCCGCTCGCCGAGGGGAAAAAACGCCGCCGAGTGGCCGAGTATCGACGGAAACGTGGAAACGCGCGATTACGGCGTGGGCGTTAAGAGATTTCGCGACGTTTCCACGAGATTTTACTGCTTCCATATTACCGTAAAGTTTACGAGCCACGGTACCCGGGGCTCCGTTCTACTCTCGCGATCGTCGCAACGGACGCAACCGGCGTCGCGTCGCGTCTCGCTGTAAAAGCAATCGCGCTACGCGATCAATTACCGGCTGGTCGCCCATCGCCGTCGAAAGATCATCGCCGTATCGGCCATGTTGCGTCATCGTGTCACGAGTCGTAAATTCACCACCGAGGCATTACCGTTTCGCGAATCGCCGCTCGAATTTCGACGCCGACGTCGGGTCTCCTTCCTCTCTCTCTCTCTTACGATCTCGTCGCGTTTCGGTATCGCGCCGGGTGACGAAGGGTACCGATCCTCGCCCCCTTACGTTCATTGACGCGCGTGTTCGCGCATGGCGCCGTCCAGTTGAATCGATCTGTTGACTTTAAGGGAAAAAAAGAAGAGAAAAAAATGTACAACTAGAAAAAGCAGCGGCGTAAAAAAAGGAGCAGAAAAAACGTGTACCGTCTATTAGATGGACTTCGCGGCTCGTTTCTTTCACGCGTAGTTCCACGCGACGCGTAGCCCGGCTAGTAAAAAACATCGGCGAGCGGAAAGAAAAACTCTACTGGCGATTCCTCTGGCCGGGGCAAAAAACGAGGCAGCGCGAGCGAGAGGGAGGAGGACGAGGATCGGCGGGCTAGAAGGGGACGGAAAAGGACGTGGAGGAAGCTGGTTTGGTAGGGAAGACGTCGCGAGGAACACGATCTCGAGATCGAGAAGCAGGGCGAGAACGCCGGGGCGAGGGGGCGGTTATTATTTACAGCAGTCCGTAAGGCGTGTCACAATGGCATTGCGGGTTTCCTCTTGAAAGTCCGACAATACGAGCGGGATTTATGGAAGAAACTTTCAACGAAACCGTCAA